TATTCATTAATATACTTGTCTTGTATGAATGATAAATATGTTCCCATTCCTAAGAATCTTCTAAACAAATGGCACAATATGCTACTGCTTCCTGGGCAAAACGGAAAACCATAAACGCCATTATGCTGCCCACCCAGTGATATCAAATTGTATATCTTTACAGAGCCACATCTCTGGACTAGTGCACGCCTATAATAAAACAAAATGTCACTATGTCAGTACATTACAGTATACAGTGGGTATATTGAGGGCCATAGTTTCCAACAAAGCATGTTTCATGAATTTGCTACAATAGTACATGCATGTATGACTTTTGGAACAACTTTAAAAATTTGTGAAAAATTCAAGTTTGAACGGAATCAGCTAAAACTTTCTACATAACAAAAGAACATGTATATGCATTTAAAAAATTACAAAAATGAAGAATTCTTTTCCTTTAATTTTTGGCAAAATTTGGCCAAAAACCCTGTACTATAGTACAGTAACTTGGGTCTGATTTTGGAGTAACTTTTAAAATTCGTAAAAAATCCAAATTTGATTGGAATCACCCTAAACTTTCTACACAATATAAGTACATGTATATGCATCAGGAAAAATTATAAAAATAAAAAATTCTCTTCTTTTCATTTTTGGCGAAATTTAACCAAAAACCCTGTACTAGTACAGCCTGTACAGGGACTTTAGTCCTTTTGAAGCAACTTTAAAAAATTTGTAAAAACGTTCTACACAATATAAGTACATGTACATTATCATTATACATTAAAAATGGAGAAATCTCTCCTTTTAATTTTGACAAAATTTGGCAGACAATAACTTACAGGAATTGTGATCCCTGAGAGAAACCCATTGCATTGAAACCATTAGCTAACATCTCATCTGATGATAGTAAATCACAAGCTAGTTCAACCTGTTTATTAGAATCGAGAAAGAAACTGTTGTATGAATCCTAAGAATAGAAAGATGAGGAGAATAATGAGATATTGCTGATGTGACCATAGACCCTTTATTTACCTCTGTGGGAGTCTTTCCAAAAGCAACCATTTTGATATATATGCCTGGTATAAGACGTTCCAGGACAACCTTAAACTGATAAGCACCATACTCATAGCAACAGCTGTCACCTAAAATATCAAAAATCAACACTGACTGAGAAGTTGAATTGACAATTAAATTTTGAAAATGCACTCACAAGCTATCTAAACCCTTGCTTTAATAACTAACCCATTCCAGACCATATTACAAGAGGAACTGGGTCATCCTCACTAGCACTAGATGCAGGAGGAGAGAAGAATAAGGCAATGGCCAAAGCAGCAAGTAGAAAATCAGCCATTTTGACAAGAGTTAAAAATTAAAATTGCTCATATACGGAGAATATGCGGTTTTGAGCTTAGTATACTGAAAACACGTGACACAATGCTGGTAAAAACAATAAAATCATAAATATTTCCATCATGTTAAAATTCAAATCTCAATGGATCAACAAGACAAGCTTTCTGTGTTGCTTCTACAGTAGCTGGAGCATCTACAATAGAAAGAGCATTCATTTTACTATTACAATATTTTGTAATATTGTTGTCCAAAAGACTAATTTTTATGAATTTCGTTGACGTGTAAGGAAAAGGGATAACCAACTCTATCATAACATTTGAAAACAACTACCAACTGCTGATAATAAGACCACAATTGACATACATACAACACATGATATCTAACAGGCTAGGCCAGTAAAGAATCAACCAAACTTGACAAATGGACTAATACGAGCATAAGCGTAGAGCGCCATGTTTCACTTATTTTATCTAATAAACCAAGAGGTTAATAAGTGTTCCCGGGAGGTTTCTAAGTGTTCCCGGGAGGTATCTAATAGATTTAGAAACCTGGTATTCTGCAATCTGATTGGTCAATTACAACTAGGCATGATAGAACTAGGTGTATAACCAACTTCTGGGACTGAAGTGACTTGCAATATTTGGAAAATGCACTCACAAGCTATCTAAACCCTTGCTTTAATAACTAACCCATTCCAGACCATATTACAAGAGGAACTGGGTCATCCTCACTAGCACTAGATGCAGGAGGAGAGAAGAATAGGGCAATGGCCACAGCAGCAAGTAGGAAATCAGCCATTTTTACAAGAGTTAAAAATTAAAATAGTCCAAGATACGGATAATAAGAATAAATTAGTATACTGCAAACACGTGACACAATGCTGGTTTAATAAAAACAATGTTATCATGTTAAAATTCAAATCTCAATGGATCAACAAGACAAGCTTGCTGTGTTGCTTCTACAGTAGCTGGAGCATCTACAACAGAAAGAGCATTCATTTTACTATTGCAATATTTTGCATGAACTTACTTAAAATAAAAGGATCGCTATTACCAGCATCATGTCTAGCACTCTCTACAGCTCTTTTGAGAGCAAACAACACACCACTGCTCATTAGCAATGGAGGCTCACCAACAGCTGCAAAATAAGGACAATACCATACTTTAAACCACTGCATACTAATAGTAGAGTAAGAGTTACCTTTAGAGCCAAGTATTCCTGGAGGATTTGGTGCGTTTTTAAGCAGCTCAACT